AGAAACACTGCTGCTGCTTCCACACCTCATCCTTGACCCATAGGACTGCTGGCTTTCATTGAATGGGTCCTGTGTTTTTCTGCTACCATGCCTGGGTCTAAACCTCTGTCTACATGTACTTAAGTCACGCTGCTCTTCTAGTCATTTTTGGTAGAAATCCTCATGGAAATGTAATTCCWGAATCTTTCTTTAACCCCACACTAAAGGGGAAAAAAAAGGTCTAAGCAAAATAAACAATGCTATAAAATCTTTTTTTTCAAGTATTTAAAAGTATTACTAACCCCTGCCCCCCACAAAATGTTTTTCCTTTGATTTTAATTTCATGGTGTATATATCAAAGAGAAGCAGTCACAGATCACTTGGGAAAAGTAGACTCCCTAAATCACTGACGTTCAGTGCCAGAAGGTGGCACACTTTTCTTAAGTAACTGCTCACACTTGTCATCTAAGATGTAAACAAAACCCACAAAAACTCATAGGGATGCCCACTTGAAGTATCTCAGGCCAGAACTGCACAGCAGTGGGGTGGGTCTAGACCAATCCATACAGGAAGGTTTCTGGCATTTTCTCTCACATGGGGTACACATGGGATAGAAATCTCTGACCCAGGGAATCTCTAAATTTGAGCCTTTCCTATTTTTTTCCCTAATTTTTTGGTTATGTGACATATAACATAGATGGATGAATTCCATTCATGATACCCTATTATACAAATGGAAGGACAGATTTCATTAAGTGCTGATATCAGATAAATGATACATAGGGACACAGAAAGGGAACAGGTGGAAATAGGTAAAAGAGGAAGGATGGGTAGAGGGRGAAGGGGAAACCACTAGGTGTTGAGGTAAGGTGGTTTAAAGTCATAACAAGATGGCCCATGCCAGAAATGTGAACAAGGATGTCTGAGGACAGATCAGAGGTCCTGCCAGGTTCTGCTGTGACCCATTACAAAGTTATCCTGGGCAATCCTGTATGATCCTGTGTTCTGGGGAGGGGTTTGGAAGGTCTCTCCTGGTGCCCACAACCTACCAGCTTCTGCCAATAAACATGGTACTTTATGTTAATCATATAACCTTCCATAATCTGTGCTGTCCACGGAAGACCACCAATCTGTAATTAAAGGGAAGAAAAGCTGACAAGGATATGGGTGACACTAAATCTCTTAAGTGTTGATCTTAAATTCTATTAGTAGCACATTTAGTAACCATTTGTGTGCCCAAATGATTATGATTTTCAAATCATAAATATTAATTCACACTACTTGTGAATCACTAATATAAGAACCACCAACATGAGAATTACTATATGCAGGTAGATGCTAAAAAGCTATTTTTGATTTGATAAAATACTGAGTGAGCTGGTCATGGTGGCACATGCCTGTAATCCCAACGACTTGGGAGGCTGAGGCAGGAGGACTACAAGTTTGTGGCTAACCTAGGCAACTTAGTGAGATCCTGTCTAGAAAAATAAAAAGGGTTAGAGAGATTGCTCAGTGGTAGAGCACCCCCAGGGTTCAATTCCCAGTACCCAAAACAAAAGCAATAAAACAAACACCTCAGCCTACTAAATGGAATTTTTTTTTCTTTTTAAATTTGTTTTCAATTTTTCAGCATACTCTTAACTCATGCTCTTCATCACAATCTGACAGAGTCAGTTGTATTATCTCCTTCCTTTGCATTCWGATTCAGGTTTGTCTCAGCAAAGCCCATGCCACTCCATGGGCTGCCCCACGGTTYGGACAGATGTCTCCACTGGAGCTGTTAAAGTCAGATACTATATAGTCAAGAAAGTTATATTTCTATTTATTTTCTTACCTTGGCACAGTTTTATGACAGAAYATTAATTTTAAAAGAACAGCTAAACTTTTAAGATATATATATTTTATTGAACATGTATGAGATTCATCTTATACATTACAAACATTTTACAAATAAATGTTTTTGTTAAAAAAAGAAACATTGCCTGGATTATCATTGTACAGTTTGAAACAAGGAAATATATAAATATGAAGTTCATTCTCCAAGTATTAGCATACTGATGGAATCACTTCAATAACCTTTTTTTTTTTTGGTGGTGCTGGGGATTAAACCCATGGCCTTGTGCATACTAAGTAAGTGCTCTATCACTGAGCCAGTCCCCTGCCACCAATAGCATTTTCCATAAATTGATTGATTGGAAGTTAATACAAGTTGTAGGTAATCAACCAAAGGGTCAAATAAACACACAAGAGGAAAGTGATCCCCAAATAAGATCTATTTCCAAAAAAACAATAAAATTTGTATATACTCTAAAATGCCTTCCCTTGTGTGGGATTTGGTCAATGAATATCAGCTAGAGAATTTTCTGTTATATACATAAATAAACATTTGAAAATGCAGAATACATTATATGTAAATTAAAAATTTTATCAGCTTTGTCACATGGGAAGACCACCCACACGACCATTTAAAATACAGTATGTATACATTATCTTATGAAAATCACATATTTAAGAGAACAAGGCCTTTATTTTCGGGGCAGTCTTAAAATAGGCTTAATGCAGGAATATTTTAYCCTTTATGTTTTATATTTTTGAACATCTCAGCTATTAACATTATGCATAGTACCTAAGCCAACATATGAACAGCGGCTTATCATTTCAACTACTATACTTGATTATATTCACATGACGTACCATCTAAGAGAACTGACCAAGCATAACTTCAGAACTTCCCAAATTAAAGCCTTGTTAAGAAAATAGAATGCAACCCCATCATATGAGCCCAGTCTGTCTCTCAGAGATTTGTTATGGATTTGTCATACTGTAAGCCTAATACTTCAGAGCACTTCAGAGCATTGAAATATTTTATAGCTTGCAAAGCCGTTTAGTTAGCATGGAAACCTGAAAGTCTAAAATTACTCTGGGATCTTTAAGTTATTAAAACTCATTCCTGCCTGAATTTGAATACATTTTGAACAGAGGCAAGTTGAAGATTATTTTTTCCTTGCAGCAACAAAAGAGCTAATGGTCAACATTTGTGGCTCACAGTTTTGTTCAAAAAAGCATATATAGAAGAATCTAATTTGGATATTATTCTGATAATTTTATGCTGGAATGGGAAGGTGGAGTTTAGAATTATTGGTCAAGACTTTCAGATCATAAATACTAATGTACACTAGTTGTTTGTACACAGAAACCTTTACACAGAAGACTACGAAGGGGAGTCAACCTTTAAAGTATAAACTGATGGCCCAGGGCCTTCTCTGCCCTGTGCTACCCTTCCTTCATATCCTGTCTGCCTCAGTCAACATCAGTTCAACTAACTGGCCTGTGCATGCTTCTCAACAAGGTATTTGAGACTCTTATTTATCTCATCCCAAACATGTAGCTTTAAACTGCCATTAGTCTTTTTCTCTAGGACAGAACTAGAAAATGTATTACATATTTGCAAATTATGAAACACTGGGCTATTAGAAGTTTGACTTTAATATTTAAAAATTAATTTATTAAGAATCTACTTTTCAAAATCCATTTTATTAAAACAAAATCAAAAGTTTCTAAGTCCAATTATCTAAACTTAAAAAKTGGACTTTGTGTGTGTGTATATATAAGTATATATCATATAGATAGATAGATAGATAGATATAGATATCATATACACACAAAATCTATTTCTTTATATATATCGCCCACCCCCACTCTCCCAGCCCTRGGGATTGAAACCAGGGACTTGCAAATTCTCTACCACTGAACCACTGAGCTACATCCTCAGCCCAGGACTTCGTATTTAATAAGCAGCTTTTTTTTTTTTTCCAATAGCTCCATGGTTAAGAGATTAACAATACAAGTTTTAGGGAAAGAAAAACTATAGTACTAAGGAAGGCACTTAACTCTTAACAACCCTTAATAAATATTCTGATAGGACTGTAGCAAAATTTGAATGCAAAGTATTCCAATGGAGTATG